GCCGCGAACTTGTCCGAAGCGGTGACCTGCCTGTCACACTCGGGGGAAGGGAGGATGAGGGAGACCAAATTGACATACCGGCCTGCAAGGATTTTTGACCGGAGGCGCGGAGATATATTAGCATGTGAGTTCATGTAAGGCCTACCGGAGAGTGGGGCCGCCAGAGCCGAGGCCAGGGTATGCTCGAGGAAGGCAGGTTCCCCCGCAGAAACCAGCGGGGAGGCAGGGTGCAGAAAAGCCGGGTCCTGGGGCCGCGACTCAACTGCGACGAGGCGGTTGGAAATAGATGCAATTGACTGCTGGACAGAAGAGAGGGCTGCGAGGATTGCATCAGGCTGCAGGGCGCAAGAGTCCTGGGGCGAAACCGTAGACGTCTCGTGGATCGCGGGGACCGGGGGCGCCGCCGCGGAACGGGTCCCTCGAGCAGGAGCATGGGCAGACGGCCACGAGCCCCTGGCGCGGCCTAAGGTCCGGGGAGGGACGCCAGGGGAGCCGGGAGACGCCGGAGACGGCGTGGGAAAGCGCACAGGCGAGTGCGCGGAGACGCGCACGCCCGAGAATCAGGCGTGAGGGTCTGGAGACGTGCTTGTTTCGCCCTTGTGTATTTGGACTTGCCCTGGCGTTTGCCCGACTGGAGCACGGGAGCTGGCGGAGAAGAGGGCGGGCTGGCGGAGAGCTGGTCGAACATGGATCGGAGCTGGAGCGACATCACGTCGGGACCGGGTGTCACTCCCTGAGCAGAAAGATAGGCTCGGATGGCCCCGTCGTCCCTGGACGCCAGGCGGGCGCTTTTACGAGCAGACGAGGGGCGGAGAGGATGAGAGGGCCCCGGAGAGGCATCGGAGTCAGACATGGCAAGATCAGACGGAGGAGCAGAACGTAAATCGTAAACAAACTGACACTGAACAACTGTATGACACGAGCTGTTTAGAGCTTTCAGGAAGCGCTGTTTGTGTGGCTGCCTTTTAAACTGCCCGCTTAGTGCCAGAGGGTTGGCAGGAGGCTGGCCGGGCTGTGTGATTGGCTGAGGCTCAAGGCTGGCAGAGCTGTTTGATTGGCTGAGGCTCGAGGCTGGCAGTGCTGTGAGATTGGCAGGCACTCGGGCTTTCAGTCTGAACATCCGCATGAGCTTCATTTGTCTCTCACTCCACACAGAGATGGGAGGGGCCAGTACAGGAGGCGCATGCCAGACCTATTGGACATATTTTTAGTGATAGGGGAAACCGGAGTACCCGGAGGAAACCTACGCAGACACGGGGAGAACATGCAAACTCCACTCAGAAAGGCCCTGGTCCAACCGGGATTCAAACCCAGGACCTTCTTGCTGAGAGGCAAGAGTGCTATCCACTCAGCCACCGTGCCGCCCAGACACTATAATGTTGATACTGGCAATTTGATGTGGCTTAAAATGTACAGTAAGTCTGAGTCCATCATTGCTCCTAATAACTGACCAGATTTGAAGGTTTAGGGCAGGGGTCTCCGACCTGTGGCTCATGAGCTACCAGTAGCTCGCAAGCCCCTTTCAGGTAGGGTTGCCAACCGTCCCATATAATACGGAATTGTCCTGTATCTTATCAAAACGATGTGCGTCAGTTAAAACAAAAAACTATACAAAATAAAATGTTCTTCCACATACATTCTCCAGCAATGCCCTGGTGCGTAGAATGAGCCCTGTCCTTTTCACCGCAATTGCCTCTATATGCCTGTAAGCTTGAAATTTGCGCGTTCGAGTCAAACCATGGATCTACACTGCAAAAGATGACAGAATTAAAGACAAAAAAATGCTCAAATTTGGCTAAATGTATCTAAATTTGAGCACATTTTGACTGCCTTAAAACAAGATTTGCCAGTGGAACAAGAAAAATGATCTTGTTTTAAAAAGATACAAGATATTTCTCTCTTGGAATGAGAAAATAAAGCAATAGTTCTTGAATCAAGTCAAAATTGCTTGTCTCATTGGCAAATCTCATTTTAAGACAGTCAGAATGAACTTAAGTCAAGTTAAAAAAAACTCGATTCTAGTAATTATGATCTCATATTTGATCATTTTTTGCAGTGTATAATAATGACTGGATAGGGTATTACTAGCTTATAGATGGTTTTTCACACACTACCCACAATTCCAGTTTGCCATATTGTGCGTCAAGCCGCCGACAGTTGTAGGTAAACAAAGCGTAGCACATCACTTTATTTGCACTAAAACATGCCGACTCCCTGCGTCGTTTGGGGGTGCAGTAACCGTGCAGATTGTGGGGACATTCCGAAGGTTATTACGAGCCAGGGGAGCCACTCTTGACGGAGAAAAGAACCCTTTAGTTGGCGAGGATCAACCAAGAGGGATTCAACCCTAACCCCGAAAAACGGCACTATAAGTTCTGTTCTGACCATTTCATAACAGGTAAGAGCTACATCTATGGATGTGTGGTTTATATTCAGAGCTTTGACTGTGATACTATGTATATATGGGCCAAAAAGCAATCTCCTCTAAAGGAATGAGGAGAGGAGGAGGAGGAGGAGGAGGAGGAGGGGAAGGAGGAGGAGGAGGAGGAGGGGAGGGGAAGGAGGAGGAGGAGGGGGAGGGTGGTAGACAGAAGTGATTTGCGGCCTGTGATATCAACTGCTTCGTTCAAAATAAATCAAAGATTGAAAGAAATATTGCATCATATACATCATGACCTTTTTTCAATTGTAAAAGTGTTAAGTGAAAGTAAACCATTTCTGGCGAAGTCCACTGGTCTCGCTGCATTTCATATGGATCCAAATCTCCGATCATTCTCAATTTCTAGAAGGATCTTGCCTCACATCTGTAAGGCACTGTATGTCCAGTCTATCAATAACTTCGGCCAAATTTGTGGCTTTATATGACATGGGGACAAATGATCCGTGACAAATGATACGTGCAATATAAGCTTTGATGCACAACATGGCGTTCGCGCAAAGAATCGTGGGTAATAAGCACGTGGCGGAAAATCCCTGTGCCCATGGGACAGCCACCTATTGCCACAGGGGGCGCTGTGGTACTACAAACTAAATTCACGTGGGCTACCCAGAAAAAAGTCCCATAGAACTCAATGTAAACTAAAACAGCTGGACCACGGCTGACAGAGAACCTACAGCTTTCATAAAGGTCGGATTCTGTGAGGATTTTAGTGTCCCTTGTCATCCTGAACTTTTTTTGTTCTTAAATCCTTCTGTTTTCTTTAAATCCACACTTTACTGCCACAGACTCTGCTCGTTTCCTTCCCGCTCTGACTCCGCTCTGCTGCTTATCTGATCAGCAGTTCTGATTGGTCAGAGCGCGGCCGAGCCCCTCTGTGCACGTGCATGAGAGCCACACACGCGTATTTGGCGCAATGCATCATGGGAGCTTGTCCACTGCACAGAACCGGGAGGACCAAACGATGCCCAAATACAGGCGAGTTCAGCTAATCTCTCGGTCTCCGTGAGGTGCCATGCGCTACTGAGCACAAGCCATTCATTTGAATAGGGCGCCATCTTGGATCACCGGGGATTGGGTCGAACACCCAAGTTTCCTGCGTAATTTCCAGGGGCAGCGTAATGCGTAATGACGTCATGCGCGTTCACGCTTGGCTGTAGCAGCGCTAGCTGTATCTGTGATTAGTGAAGTTGCAGAGCGAGAGGTGGCTTTGGGAGGATGGATACAGCGGAGAATAACAAGAGACTGGCTTCAAGTAGCGCTGAAACTCCAGCCCTGACCCCAAACTAAATTAAAGAAACGTAGAATTTATTCGAGTGCGACGAAAAGGGAGAAACTCGAGTCTGACCACCGTAGGCAACGAATGAGACATTGGAGTTGCTTTTGAGAAGGTGAAAACGCTGAGAGAATCTCTGGGCAGTACGAAAGCCCCACAGTTGGGGCACTTCAGCTTCAAAGGTAAGGCGGTTATTTCTAAATACGTGTGGGAAAAAGTAGATGCTTTCAAAGCAGTGGTGTCTGTGCATCGCAAGACTACTTAGCAAAACACTTTTTTTTTTTGTCAGCCCGAGTTTTACTGCATTTTTAATTGTGGGAAACGCTCAAAACGAGGCATGGATGTCTCATTTTCCAAAATACCAGCCGTAATAAACCCCAGCAAGATCTCTGCGTTAGAAGAAATTAACACAGTAGCTAGCGTTAGCTGGATATGCCAAGTGAACCGAGGAGCAGCGGTTTACAAACAGGGAAGGAGAAGATTACGAATATAAAGTGTGTAAATTATGCATTATTCTCAATGTATTTCAACATGTAAATGCTTTGCATATGTGTTTACCAGAGGAAGTACTAAAGTGGTATGTGAGAAGTTACATCCTGTTTAGGGACCACCAGCATCAGCGGATCTGCCGACCTGAGGGCACGAGAGGGAACATAGGGCAGAACAAGATCACAGAGGTAGGAGGGGGCCAGGCCATTTAAACATTTTAAAGTAAATAAAACCCACCGGAAGCCAGTGTAGAGATATTCAAACCAGTGTAACATGCTCATATCTGCGAGTTCCAGTTAAAAGTTGAGCTGCAGAACTTTGGACGAGCTGCAGCCGAGAAAGTGCCTGTTGCCTCAGCCCACAGTGAGGTGCATTGCAGTAGTCTAAGCGGGTTGTCACAAAAGCTGCTTTGTTAAAATAGGCTTTATTTTTGTAAGTTGCCTTAGCTGAAAAAAGCTTCAGGTTAGCGTCCATCCTAACACCCAGATTAATCACCGCTGGCTTCGTGGAGACCCCAGGTCAGCAGAGGGAGTGTGGCCACTACTCGGGCTAAAAACAATTACCTGAGTGTTCTCCTGGTTGAGATTCAGAAAGTTGAAAGACATCCGTGATTGTAGATCCTTCAAACAGTCCAAGAGAGACTCCGTAAACTCCGGTCAATTATTAGTTCCCTACATGTACTAAAAATCTATCTGATGCTTTATTCTGAATTTATGACAACTACATACATTCTTTGTATTATTATGTATTCAGAATGCATAATAATTTATTTTGAAATAGTGCAACTACAAAGATATTTTATAACCGCAGGACCCCTGGGGATAAAATGTAATCCTCCATGTTTAGCACTGTGGACATGCACTGTGGACATGCACCGTGGACATGCAGCGTGGACATGCACCGTGGGGACATGCACCGTGGACATGCACCGTGGACATGCACCGTGGACATGCAGCGTGGACATGCAGCGTGGACATGCACCGTGGACATGCAGCGTGGACATGCACCGTGGGGACATGCAGCGTGTACATGCAGCGGGGACATGCACACCGTGGACATGCAGCGTGGACATGCAGCGTGGACATGCACCGTGGACATGCAGCGTGGACATGCACCGTGGGGACATGCAGCGTGTACATGCACCGTGGGGACATGCACCGTGGACATGCACCGTGGACATGCACCATGGACATGCACCGTGGGGACATGCACCATGGACATGCACCGTGGACATGCAGCGTGTACATGCACCGTGGGGACATGCACCGTGGACATGCACCGTGGACATGCACCGTGGACGTGCAGCGTGGACATGCACCGTGGACATGCAGCGTGGACATGCACCGTGGACATGCAGCGTGGACATGCACCGTGGACATGCACCGTGGACATGCACCGTGGACATGCACCGTGGACATGCAGCGTGGACATGCACCGTGGACATGCACCGTGGACATGCACCGTGGACATGCACCGTGGACATGCAGCGTGGACATGCACCGTGGACATGCACCGTGGACATGCACCGTGGACATGCACCGTGGACATGCAGCGTGGACATGCACCGTGGACATGCACCGTGGACATGCACCGTGGACATGCAGCGTGGACATGCAGCGTGGACATGCATCGTGAACATGCAGCGTGGACATGCAGCATGGACATGCAGCGTGGACATGCACCGTGGGGACATGCACCGTGGACATGCACCGTGGGGACGTGCAGCGTGGACATGCAGCGTGGACATGCAGCGTGGACATTCATCGTGGACATGCAGCGTGGACATCCCCCGTGGGGACATGCACCGTGGGGACGTGCAGCGTGGACATGCATCGTGGACATGCAGCGTGGGGGCCGCTGGAGACAGCACATTTTCAATGTCTCTTGGCACTTTTCTCAGACGCACAGAGGCGGTTGGCCCGGTCTGGGAGGGTCTGGGAGGGTCTGGTCGTCAGCTTCTCTGGACTGAGGGCGTTCAGTGCTTCCTGAAAGGACCATTATGAGATTACTTTATATATTCTATGTTACTTGTAGCTTTGCTTTCAAAGTGGTAAGTTTCTTTACAGTGTAATAGTCAGTGTAAAGTAATTAGTTATGACACAGTACTTTTATGTTTCAGACAAGTTTTACTGGGATTGTTTTTCATCTCACTGTACAGCTCTGATACACTTTGACTTTGACTTCACTCTCTCTACAATAAGCACATAACACAGATGTCGATTCCATCAATAAATCATTTAGTGACATTGAGAAGGCAGCTTAGTGAGACGCAGCTTTACTTTCACATAATGCATCACTGCAGAAACGTAACTCATAGAAATGACTGGTATTTTATTTGTTTAAGTGTTACATTACTTTATTGATTTTTGGAGTGTTTGTTGTCTACAAAGAACTCCAAATATATAAATTGTGAGGAAATAAGTAATATTGATGCATTACTTTGTAAATAATAACCCCTATGTGGCTGAGTGGTTAGCACTCTCGCCTCTCAGCAAGAAGGTCCTGGGTTTGAATCCCGGTCGGAACAGGGCCTTTCTGAGTGGAGTTTGCATGTTCTCCCCATGTCTGCGTAGGTTTCCTCCGGGTGCTCCGGTTTCCCCTACCACTAAAAACATGCACAATAGGTCTGAATGTAAATGAGAGAGTGAATGATGGTGTTGGAGCTGATGGTCCAGTGTGTTCTGGACTCGCTTCTGTCATCACCGTGTGTGGAAGGATTGGAACAATATCTGACTCTGAACATTGTAAAGTGCTTTGGGTCTGTACCTTGGTCTGTAAAATGTGCTATATAAATAAACATTACTTACTTACTTACATGTAAAGCTTTGTTGTTGTTGTAAAGTGCATATGTATTAAATAAGACATGTCATTCATTACAAATGAAGAAACACAATATTGCAAGTTATCAATGATCTAATCTTATAAATACATATCTATCAACCCCAACCCTGACAGACTGGATGTTACACAGCGGCCATCGTCCACAGGTAAACCCAGGACACCAGCGCCTCTGCCACCGAGTCTGGGCCTGACGTGACGTGGTTTCTCCTCGTTTGGGACCAGGGGAGACCGGTCCTTCCAGGCTGTTGCGCCTAAACTCTGGAACAATCTTCCGCGCTCTCTGCGGCTGATGGAGTCGGTTGATTCATTCAAAGGTCAGCTAAAAACCTATTTATTTGGGCAAGCTTTTACATAATTTTCTTGCGGCTGTTTTAAACTTGTCACTGAGTTGTCTTGGCCATTATATTTACTGTATGTATATTTTCTATTTATTTTTTTGTATGCACATTTTAAATTGTATTTTGTCTGTTTTTACCTGTTTAAACTGTGAAGCGCTTTGTGGCCTTGGTCTGTGAAAGGCGCTGTATAAATAAAGCTTACTTACTTACTTACTTACTCTCCTGGTGCGTCCCACATATTCATCTAATTCATATGCACTGTAACAGAAATGTGTTACAGACTTATAACAACTAGCAAAGCAGCATTTTTTCTATAAAAGATAGTTTTTCTCTTGTTTCTATCTTTCTTAGTGATGCTATCCTGGCTAACATCAAGCTGCTTTCGGTTTTATAGCTAAGTTATGAAATAGCTATCTCACGCATAACAACATATTCATGCTGTTATCACTCCCAGTGTTTGTTTTTAAAATACTTACGGGTAGATCTGACGGAGATGAATCTGCTGCTGCCATCACTCGTACTAGTCACGGAGGACGATGCACGTTCATGTGGTGTGATGTAGGGACGGGGGCGAGCCTGGAAACTTTCTCAGGCGAGAAGAAACTGCCGGAAACGACCGAGTTGCTTACTGCTGCTTTAATGCAAGAAGATCAAAGGAGATATAAAGATAAGATACGCTCTCTTTATTCAAGGCTAGGTTTAAAACAGTCCTCTTTAGTTTAGCATATGGCTAGGAAGGTAAGACTCAGGGAAGGCTAAACTCCTCAGACTGTCAGTCAAGCTGCATAGGGAGCCCCCTGCTGGAGAAGTATGGTAACTTGAGCACTATCCTCTCCTCCTTCCTACTTTATCTGTTTAGCATTTTTAGGATTTTGACTGTAGTTTGTTCATTGCTATTCACCCGTTGTCCCATTGTCTGTTTCATGGTACGATGACGGGATCTCTGAGCCTGGCCTCCTCCATCTACACCTGCGGACTGCCCCGCCCGACCCGCCTGGGAGTGCTTCAGTCCTGCACCGGACCTTTCCACGTTCAGTGTCCACTGGTCCACGTTCTGTAGCTAGCTTAGGTCCTGGATCATTAGTCTGTCCGTCCGGAGGAGCGGATCCCTTTCTCATATGGGTCTCCCTCCCTGTGGGTTTCCCTAGTGCTCCCCAAGGTTTCTCACTTTTTCCCACTGGGTTTTTTAAGAGTTTTTCCTTGTGGATGCAGGAGGGTCTTGTTGGACAGTTAGTGTCCAACAGAAAGGATTGGTGATGATCAGGACACTTTAGCATTCTACAACATGTATGGACATTTTCTTCTGTGTGTGCTTTATATTCTTCATGTGTTTTAACTGTTGATTCTCTGACCTGTGTTGGTGATTTCAATGGTTTTGTTAAGTCCTCTGAGATGACTTCTGTTGTGACCTAGGGCTATACAAGAATACATTGTATTGTGTATTGCAGTGTCTCCCAAAGTGGGGTCCGCGGCCCCCTGGTGGGCCGCGAGGGTACTGCAGGGCGGCCGCGGGAGGTCATAAAAAAAATAATATAATTATTTAATGTTAAATTTAACATTAAATAACGTCAAATATTTGACTTGAATAATCCACTGTAATCATTTTTGTATTACAATGTTTGTAGCAGAGGCTATTTCCCCAAAATAAAATAACCAGAAGAGCCTATTCTTAATGTTGTCTTCTTGGTTATTATTTTGGGGGGCCACGCAGACCCGTCAGATTTTTAAGGGGGCCTCGGTGTTACTGAGTTTGGGAATGGCTGGTGTATTGTATAAGCTACAAATAAGTATATGAGACTGAACTGCTGTTTTGCCAACCAGTCATGTGACCGGCACGGAAAATCTATAAACAACGACGTCACTCAAAGATCCTCCTATACATCTCTCAAACTTAGAACATGTCACACATTTGATTCCATCATCTAGGAACCGGAAGAGTATGGAAAAACTGCAAATCTTCCAAGACTCAGTCTGATCAGAGATGCAGACACAAGACACACATCCACAGCTCACCTGGGGAAATTTGTAAATGGGGAAAATAATTGTAAAACACTACACAAACAGATTCAACAGTTGGAAGAAGTTTATGAAGATTAAACTACTTGTGCTCTTTATTCACAATATCTGGTTTATATTAAATTGCATTGCACACTGACACATTGCACACACTGGTTACATACACTAAATCATTAAAAGTCATCATTTTACCTTGGCAATGGCCTTAAATCACACAAACGACTGAGAAACAATGCTTAATGCCTACATTTAAACAATTTTTTTAATAATGACAGAAGGATCCAGGTCAATCAGTTGATCTTTAAAAAACTGTAAGAGATTAGTTTGCTTTACTTCATGCTTCTTTCAAGTATAACTGTTAAGTATGACTTTTACCTGCTTGATAAAATCCAAAATAATTTCTTCGCTGACGCTTCCAGAAGTCATTATTTGCATTTTAACATGTGCAATGATATTCTCAGCTGTAAAGAAAAATATATATAATTAAGGAGGAAAAAGAAACTTAAATGACACCAGTGCCTAATCTTTGATTTTTTTTTCTTTTTTGTAATTTAATTTAATCATAGACTGTAGAATAGAAGGTCTATGCATGGACAGGTGCTCACAAGTCATAACCGTGTCTCGTGGAATTCTTTAGCGAGTGAATCCAAACCCAAGTCTTTCCCGTCTCTTCAAAAAGGCTGGTGTTTAGTCCTGTTCATCCATCCATCCATCCTTTCATTTTCTTTCGCTTTATCCGTTGCCGGGTCGCGGGGCAGCAGTCTAAGCAGAGACGCCCAGACTTCCCTATCCACACACACTTCCTCCAGCTCGTCCGGGGGGACCCCAAGGCGTTCCCAGGCCAGCTGAGAGACATAGTCCCTCCAGCGTGTCCTAGGTCTTCCCCGGGGTCTCCTCCTGGTGGGACGTGCCCGGAACACCTCCCCAGGGAGGCGTCCGGAACAGATGCCCGAGCCACCTCAACCGGTTCCTCTCGACGTGGAGAAGCAGCGGCTCTACTCCGAGCTCCTCCCGTGTGACTGAGCTCCTCACCCTATCTCTAAGGGAGCAGCCACTCTGCGGAGGAAGCTCATTTTGACCGCTTGTATCCGCGATCTCGTTCTTTCGGTCATTACCCAAAGCTCATGACCATAGGTGAGGGAGGGAACGAAGATTGACCGGTAAATCGAGAGCTTTGCCTTTCGGCTCAGCTCCCTCTTTACCACAACGGTCCGATACAGCTCTGACTGCAGACGCTGCTCCCTCTTTACCACAACGGTCCGATACAGCGACCGCATCACTGCGTACGCTGCACCGATCCGCCTGTCAATCTCACGCTCCATTCTTCCCTCACTCGTGAACAAGACCCCGAGATACTTGAACTCCTCCACTTGAGGAAGGGCCTCTCCACCCACCTGTAGAGGGCAAGGCACCTTTTTCCGGTCGAGCACCATGGCCTCGGATTTGGAGGTGCTGATTCTCATCCCAGCCGCTTCACACTCGGCTGCAAACCGTCCCAGTGCATGCTGCAGGTCCTGGTTCGTTGGAGCCAGCAGCACAACATCGTGCGCAAACAGCAGAGATGAAATCCTGTGGTCAAAAAAGGGCAGCCCTGGCGGAGGCCAACATGCATGGGGAACAGGTCTGACTTACTGTTGATGCAAACGCAGCTCTGACTGTGGTCATACAGGGACCGGACAGCCCTTAGCAGAGGACCCCGGACCCCGTACTCCTGGAGGACACCCCAAAGGACACCCCGGGGAACACGGTCAAACGCCTTCTCCAAATCCACAAAGCACATGTGGACAGGTTGGGCGAAACTCCCATGAACCCTCGAGTATCCGATGGAGAGTGTAATCCTTAATGCCTTAATGACCAAGGAGATGATCATTGACTTTTGCAGGAGTCTAAAAACCAGGGTTGACAGACTGATCAGGAAATGTGTTCATGTGCTAGAGAGAAGAATGAGGCTAACTTGCAGGGTATCCTGAGTAACTCAAGTGTGTACCCTCAATACGCGTTAGCGCCTGCTACATGTTACGAACATAGTCCTTGTACAAGTAGTAGTTAATGAATGTGGTTTTCTCTCATGCTCTCAGTGGTGCAGTGTGCTTAGGGACGGGCTCACCCCGTCACACTATCCCCGCACACTAGATCCCTCACTTTTGGAAACAATTCTTTCCAATGGGTTACCTGTGGTTGGAGGCTCAGTTGTCTTGGTGGTTGGAGGCTCAGTTGTCTTGGTGGTTGGAGGCTCAGTTGTCATGTTGGTTGGAGGCTCAGTTGTCTTGGTGGTTGGAGGCTCAGTTGTCATGTTGGTTGGAGGCTCAGTTGTCTTGGTGGTTGGAGGCTCAGTTGTCATGTTGGTTGGAGGCTCAGTTGTCATGTTGGTTGGAGGCTCAGTTGTCATGTTGGTTGGAGGCTCAGTTGTCATGTTGGTTGGAGGCAATGTAATTGGTGATAGTGCTGTAGATCAAAATGTATTATTTTATTGGAGATATAAATATATCATTAAAGTGGGAAAGTATTCTTGTGGAAATAGGCTTTGGCTACTAGATCAACACCACATTCCCACACTTGTGTTACATATTAGATAGGGGAACACGTATATCTGACTTTTGCTGGTACATTGCAGTTGTCTGGCCTGTACTGTCTACACCGCCGCTCATGTGGTGTGTAGAGGACGTCTTTGTGATGCACACCAGAATCACAAAGAGCAGGCATATCAAACATGTGGCCCGTAAGATCCTTCCTCGTGGCCCTTGATATGAGTTTCACTATTGACGTGCAGCATTAATAATAGTTAAAAAACTTAAATTTTAGCACCCATGACATACCTCATTTTTCATTTCTCAAGAAAACGGCCACATGCAGTGGGGGCTGGTGACAACTTTGGGCAGGAGGGCAAATGAATAAATATTAGTGATGGGCAGTGTGTGGGGCAACAGTAGCTCAGTTGTTACAGCACGGGTCTTTGGACCTGAAAGTCGTGGGTTTGATCCCACTACGACCCATGTCACCTGCACCCACTGATGTCTGCTGGTGCCAAACAAGAAGCCGACTGAAACTACAGCTATTGAAAAGCTGATTTCTGCATGAAGTTTGTTTCAGTAAAATGTTTAAGACAGGAACATACTTCTATTCAATTCAAGGAAATCCTTTTAAACAGATTAACAACTACAATATACTGATGTTCTGCTGCAGTACGACACTCTCGTTATAGTTACAGTATGTGAGAAAATGAAACGACATTTGGAACGTGAATCAACTTCTGCAGCAACGATTACTAAATGACTAAATACTAAATAAACTAAATAACATGGTGTGCACATTGTTATGTTGGACTTAAGAGTGCAGACAAAGTTCTCCCTCTACCATTAATTGTCTGCTTTCTAAACCTGGATGGAGTCAACATGAAAAAATTACAAAAACCTGTGTAATCACAAGGGGCTCTCTGATGATGTTTCAAAGGCTTAACTGTAGTTAATTACATTTTAACCATGTGGTGCAAGGCATAACTTTGAATAGATTAACACCTAGTAGATTTATTGGTTACTTTTCAACACTAACAAGCAAACACACATTCATTAGGAATCTTTATGAATGTGGAAACAATGGTGATGATTGTTAAATCATATTATGAAAAAAGTAATGTAACACAATTACTGTTACTAAGTAGTATGAAATATTACTTTTTAAGTATTTTTTTTTTGCATCCAGTGTCTCGTCGCCCCACCTTCTCAGAGAAATGAATTTGTGCATCAAAAAATGTTTAATGTAGGGCTGTCAAACGATAAAACATTTGAATCGAGTTAATCACAGCTTAAAAATGAATTAATCATAATTAATTGCATTTTGAACTATCGGCAAAATGATGCCATATTTTTCTGTAAATGGTTGTTTGAAAGATAAATGACAACATAGTGTTCATATGTACTGTATTTGTTTATGATAACAAATCCACATAAAATTGTATTAACATTATTAACTTTCTGTCTGTCTGTATAAGACAGTATTTTGTATGTCTATGTATATACTGTATGTATGTGTGTATGTATACGTACGTGTACTGTATACATATGTATATGTGTGTGTATGTGTATCTGTTTATATGCATGTGTGTATGAATATATACACATATTAAATTATAACTACTGTATATTACAACAATCTGTCCATAAAGAGTGTGTGTGTGTGTAGCATGAGTGGTGTGTGTGAGTGTGTAGCATGAGTGGTGTGTGTGTGTGTGTGGCATGAGTGGTGTGTGTGACAGAGGTGGGACAAAGTCATTGTTTAGCAAGTCACAAGTCAGTCTCAATTCATTGCCCTCAAGTCCCGAGTCAAGTCACGAGTCAAGACAGGCAAGTCCCGAGTCGAGTCCAAGTCAAAGGCCAACAAATCTCAAGTCAGTCCCAAGTCCTACGGTTTGACTTTCGAGTCCTCTCGAGTCTTTTTGACCGCGATTTGTTTCTTGTTGGTCTCCACGTACTTTTGTAGGCAAACAAAATAATGTTAGGAATCATTTTGCTGGTGCATTCTCGTTGGTCTCTGACCCATGGACTAACAGTTTGTTCCATGTCGTTGGCTGCTGATAAATCAAAACTATCTACGTGATCTAATTGGATGTTGTGCCAGATGCAGGCTCAGTTACACATGCACAGACCACACATAAAATCAGAGCAGTCCGTGTCAACATACTTTTTATCTTTGGGGTTTTTAATGGGAAGTAGCAAGTGCAGCATATATGAATATGAGTATTGGGCTAGGACCTGTATCTATATAATCAGTTTAATGTCCGTAGTGGTTATTGTTCCAAAGGACTGAAGGGACCAATGGAGGGGAAGGACCCCGGCCTGTATGAACTGGGCCAGCATTAGTAATATCTCATAATTACCAATATATCATTACATAATAAAATGTCTCATATAAATTAATTCAATCAGTCAAAGCACTGATTCTCATATCAATGCACCATAAACAATAGTGCAAATATTAATCTAGCTTAGTGCACATAATCAAAACAACTATCTAATGTATGCAAACTTTAGCAGGAGGAGCACAGCAAAAACATACTCATAATAATAGGCCTCGGCGCCCACACAGAAAAATATAAGAAAGAGCCAACAGAGCAGCGCAGGCTAGCGCTAGTTTGACTCACCAGTTCCTCTTTAAAACACGGCACACAGTGTGACAACTGCGTCGATTCAATTGTATGAGGCGCCTGTAGTGAAAGCATATCAATTACGGTTTGTAGAACAAAATATGACGTTAGGTCGCGATAAATATCTGCAGCTCGCTCATTTCCAGCTCCCCTAGACAACACACCCACCGGTGAATGCAGTCCGCTTGTTTAGGGAAGTGTTGCTGCGCGAACTGCCTGGAACTCACGTTCGAACTCTCTCGCGAGCGCTACAACTACCGCGAGGCTTTGTTTCTTCAGAGACGGCATAGATAGAAAGAGAGATGCGGAGAAAGGTAAAAATGGCCCGGGTTACGCAAGTCTTTGCAAGTCAATTGGCGCAAGTCCAAGTGAAAGTCAGAGTCATTGATGTTAAAGTCCAAGTCGAGTTGCAAGTCTTTTTATATTTGGTCAAGTCGAGTCTAAAGTCATCAAAATCATGACTCGAGTCCAAGTCACATGACTCGAGTCCAAGTCACATGACTCGAGTCCACACCTCTGGTGTGTGAGTGTGTGGCATGAGTGGTGTGTGTGTGTGGCATGAGTGGTGTGTGTGTGGCATGAGTGGTGTGTGTGAGTGTGTGGCATGAGTGGTGTGTGTGTGTGTGTGGCATGAGTGGTGTGTGTGAGTGTGTAGCATGAGTGGTGTGTGTGAGTGTGTAGCATGAGTGGTGTGTGTGAGTGTGTGGCATGAGTGGTGTGTGTGAGTGTGTAGCATGAGTGGTGTGTGTGTGTGTGTAGCATGAGTGGTGTGTGTGTGTGTGGCATGAGTGGTGTGTGTGAGTGTGTGGCATGAGTGGTGTGTGTGTGTGTGTAGCATGAGTGGTGTGTGTGAGTGTGTGGCATGAGTGGTGTGTGTGAGTGTGTAGCATGAGTGGTGTGTGTGTGTGTGTAGCATGAGTGGTGTGTGTGTGTGTAGCATGAGTGGTGTGTGTGAGTGTGTAGCATGAGTGGTGTGTGTGAGTGTGTGGCATGAGTGGTGTGTGTGAGTGTGTAGCATGAGTGGTGTGTGTGAGTGTGTGGCATGAGTGGTGTGTGTGAGTGTGTGGCATGAGTGGTGTGTGTGTGTGTGTGGCATGAGTGGTGTGTGTGTGTGTGTAGCATGAGTGGTGTGTGTGAGTGTGTGGCATGAGTGGTGTGTGTGTGTGTGTGGCATGAGTGGTGTGTGTGTGTGTGTGGCATGAGTGGTGTGTGTGTGTGTGTGGCATGAGTGGTGTGTGTGTGTGTGTAGCATGAGTGGTGTGTGTGTGTAGCATGAGTGGTGTGTGTGTGTAGCATGAGTGGTGTGTGTGTGTGGCATGAGTGGTGTGTGTGTGGCATGAGTGGTGTGTGTGAGTGTGTAGCATGAGTGGTGTGTGTGTGTGTGTGGCATGAGCGGTGTGTGTGTGGCATGAGTGGTGTGTGTGAGTGTGTAGCATGAGTGGTGTGTGTGTGTGTGGCATGAGTGGTGTGTGTGTGTAGCATGAGTGGTGTGTGTGTGTGTGTAGCATGAGTGGTGTGTGTGAGTGTGTAGCATGAGTGGTGTGTGTGTGTGTGGCATGAGTGGTGTGTGTGTGGCATGAGTGGTGTGTGTGTGGCATGAGTGGTGTGTGTGAGTGTGTAGCATGAGTGGTGTGTGTGTGTGTGAGTGTGTGGCATGAGCGGTGTGTGTGTGGCATGAGTGGTGTGTGTGTGTGTGTGGCATGAGTGGTGTGTGTGTGGCATGAGTGGTGTGTGTGTGTGTGTGGCATGAGTGGTGTGTGTGTGGCATGAGTGGTGTGTGTGTGGCATGAGTGGTGTGTGTGTGTGTGGCATGAGTGGTGTGTGTGTGTGTGGCATGAGTGGTGTGTGTGTAGCATGAGTGGTGTGTGTGAGTGTGTAGCATGAGGGGTGTGTGTGAGTGTGTAGCATGAGTGGTGTGTGTGTGTGTGTGTGTGGCATGAGTGGTGTGTGTGTAGCATGAGTGGTGTGTGTGAGTGTGTAGCATGAGTGGTGTGTGTGAGTGTGTGGCATGAGTGGTGTGTGTGTGGCATGAGTGGTGTGTGTGTGGCATGAGTGGTGTGTGTGTGGCATGAGTGGTGTGTGTGAGTGTGTGGCATGAGTGGTGTGTGTGTGGCATGAGTGGTGTGTGTGTGGCATGAGTGGTGTGTGTGAGTGTGTGGCATGAGTGGTGTGTGTGTGTGTGTAGCATGAGTGGTGTGTGTGAGTGTGTGGCATGAGTGGTGTGTGTGAGTGTGTGGCATGAGTGGTGTGTGTGTTCTTGTAATCATCACGTTGTGGGGACTGAAATCTGTTAACACAGTCACGC